AATGAAATCAAAAGAAATGTTCCCAGTTAACCAATCAGATTGCCAGAATTTTAATGAACACAATAAAAATTTAATTATAAGAAAATCATTTGAAATTGTGTTTCAGGTGTTGTCAAATGTAACTAAGCATGAGTGAATTACTGAAATATTATAAACACATTGAACCATTACTGGAGGTCTGAACTATCTGATGTCAGAAGCAAGGGGGTATCGGGTACATTGTCTTTTAAGGTGGGAGCCTTTTAAATTTGAATAAAAATATTTCACATTTGTTATTCCAGCATGTGTGAAGGGTTTGCAACTTACATCAAGGCTCATCACAATTATAATGGACTCACAGTGTCAGTGAACACAGTGTGTATTTGAAATACTGAAACAAGGAATAATGTAGCTTTTGAATGGTAGTCTAAATGGTACAATTGAGATTCTACAATACTTATTATTCTCATGTGTCAATTATCATCAGACAAAAATCAAAATCATCATGGGTGATTATATTCTCCCCAGCGACCTCACTGATGTTACATTCAACATCACAAGTATCCACCAGCATTAAGTGGGTCAGCTGATACAGTCCAGGGAAAGAATTGGTCATACAACATCTGTTTCTCTCAGGGGTGTTCATCCTGGAAAACATCAGTGGAGTATTACTATCCAAACTGACACAGGGTAATATTATCTCATGACTGCCAGTTATGAGAAAATGTATCATTATCAGATTTAAGTTACTATTGTAGAGAAAGACATGTCACATAATGAACATATTCATTCCGATAGGTCAAAGGTGGAAAACAATATTCTTAACAAATGGAGAAGCATAATTTAAATATGCTGACATTTTTTCCTTCTCTGAGTGGCATTTAGAAGTTGGTGTGATGAACAACAAGGAGAGTTCTATGGATATACAACTTCTTTAATATAATATGAGCGACATTGTGGTGTAGCTATTAACACCGTTATCAAGCAAGTACCTCTCCTCGTTAATTTCTTTTCTGATACAAAGAAGTGTGTTCAACAAGTACACCAGACATTATTCAGACAAATTCATACCAAAAGTAAACAAACACTAACCTGTAGCATGTGTATTCTGGAATCACCTGGGCCTCATCTTTGTGGACAACAGGCACCTGTAGGGAGATGTAATACGATGCATTAAAGGGAAAAAGTCACTTGTGTATTAGCATTCTTGGTAAACTTTAATTCAACAATGAAGGGAGCAAAGGTGTTATTGTCAAACATAAACAACTTTGCAAACATGTATATAATGATGCTAACTTGCTTTTTAAAAGCAAGAAGCAAATGAAAGTTAACCCATCTTAAAACATTGAAAGTAATAAATTGGGGTCTGTTCAAATTTACTTGCCTACTCTTGCCTACCTGTAATCAGGAGATATAAGCATATGTGAAAATATCACATACATTAGAATTTTAAGTAAATTACTCAATGTAACTCAGTGTCAAACTGACAACTGTATTTAAGATGCATGACCAGGTGTTAATATTAATAATATAGGATATTTATATAGAGCACACATCAACGCACTAGTGCTTGCTCAAGGCGCTGGTATTTTTTCCCTCGATCATTGGATGTCAATCTCAATGGCACATCTTATTATCAATCTCAACTCCCTGGGGAGTATACAACTCTTGCAGCCACTAGGCGCACCGAGTTATCGTGGCTTTCTCATCCTAACGAGGTACCCATTCACAGCTGGGTGGACTGGGACACATAGTCACAGTATTTTGTCCAAGTTCACTGCACGTTGCTGTACCCGCAACTAGGTGTTTGCACATATTCATGTGTTGTATGAGAGAAGACAAGCAGGTAAAATCAACAGGCCATATCAAGTTATGAATGCTTTGCTAAGATATAATTGAAATATAACTTCTTTGAGTGGCATTTTATAAGTTCTAATTGAAATATAGTTGAAAATAGATTCAATAGATTAACCTGAAATTAGAATGCAATAGCTGTGTTCAAGTACGGTGGAAAATTTTGAAACAATCTTAACAATGAATAAAGCCTAACTACTACAGAAACTGTTTCATCATGTTTATAGCTAATCTTCACGTGGGTGCCGATTTCAGACGATAACATCAGTGGCATTCTACAGATGGTGGCGCCTTGGGCTGCACCCTTTGTAAAGCGAAAAGATTGTGTACTGTACGTTTTGATGATTACTACAGTGAGAGGCCCCTAATGTTTCGGTGAAAAGTTTTGTACAGCATGTGTACAGCAACACATTCTCTTTCCCTGAATCGATTCAAAACCCCTGCTCGTAATTTCGATTGGCATGCCATTAACTAAATTTGGCAAGGAGAATAACAATAACAATATTTTCTTCAAACTGTAAAAGATGCAAAATACATGGTACCATAATTAGTTACAGTATTGTAACGAAATCGCTCTGTAAGAAGTGGAAATGGCACACAACACTGAGAGTGAGACCAGCGAGAGCTGACGGCTACCTCGTCATGCTTTTGTTTCATTCGTCGCTAATTCGAATGATAGTCAACCACCACTTCAGCAAGTTTTGACCTCTCGGACACGTCGAACCTCTATTGCAGCATCCCGAGGCACGGCAGCACGTTTCAGGCATCGTAATATTGCTGCGCATTTGAAATCGACCGTGCAACAAACTTTGAACGCCATCATTATGCCGGAAGTGTACTTAGGACCGTAGTGATTGGCTCCATCTATTGGCGAAGCTGTAAAGGGAGATAAGTGAGGAATGTTCCCCATTAACATCAATTTCAAAGGCAATATGGGCAGAGGCTACAGACGTTGGAGCTTGGATACACTGCAGTCATATAGCCAGAGAAGACAATTAGCATGCAGATTACCTATCACGACGAAGAGACTTTCACAACTGGATGCTCAACCCCAAAGTATTCAACTACCTCAACAGAATATGGGGTCCTCACGCGGTGGATCGCTTCACCAGTGTAACAAACTCCCCTGTTATAAGGTTTGTCCCATGTCAAGTGTAAAATAAAAATATGCGCTGTTATATCATTGAACAACCTGCTTTATGGAGTCACATCCTTCTCTGTAATGTTTTTGCATACATGCACATCTTTAATCTTATGCCCACCTTCATAACTTTTTGAGGGGTGGGGGCTTCAACTGCAAATTTATAGAATATTATAATTCAGTATCATGTCAATATTTTAATTCTATTATATGTGTGCTTTAATTTTGATATTCATTCATATCAAGGTGTAGATTATATTTAACGGTACATGTGCAGCAAAGTATTATGTTTTATGTACCAGTTGTTTGTGCAAAATATATATATGATAATTTAAACTGTCTCTACTTAATGGTTGGATGTCAATAGTTATTGTTTTACTTATCAAAGATAACAAATGTGTGTTTGATTTCTGAGAACAAATAAACTTGCCAAAGCGTCTGTTTACTCCTATTTGTCTTATATGTTTGTTTCGTACATCGTTACGATTATGTGTGTTTATAATACACAAACTTTTACATGATAGCTTGAGTTGATAAAGCCAAAACCCAACATATCGATTGGTCAGCGATATAGGCAATAATCAATCTCTATCCAAACTGTTGAGTGACCAAACGTGCTCTTCAGACATTTAGGCCATGCCCCATCACCTGTCCCTTCCTCTGAGACAGGTGTCTCATGATACGATTGGTCATAGATAACAAATGATCAGGCACTCTATTGAACAGTTGAGATACCAAAAGTTCTATTCGGAAAACTTGATCACTTCCCATCATATGACTGTCAGTGTTCACGAATCGTGTTTCAAAGGAACAAGACATTTGGTCCTGTAAGTTTCAGATGTCTGTCTGACCCATTGAAAATTCACAGGACCCATAGAATAAAATTAAACACACACTTCAGATTTAGCATTTCTTATAATTGGCACTGAAATTAACATAAGATTTATAAACAGCAAACAGGTGTCACATGCCCCATATAACTTCAGTCAAAGTCATTGTGAAATATACAGTCAGACACTCGGGCTGGCGGGTTGTAGACTTCTATCGGACCGTTGGCAAATCTGCCGGATTTGTCAGAGGGTCAGACGCTATTCGTGAACACTGGACTGTTTGTTTCAAGTCTTGTCAAGGAATGTGTAGTATACAATATGTGTGTGTGTGTGTGTGACTTATAAAGATGTAAGTAATTTCTTCTTTACAATCTGTCATTGTCAATAATCTATAATCCCGTAAAGTGAAAAGATTTTTTTTGTAAAATAAACCCTCACACAATTTATTTATATATGTCTTATCTCATACATGCAAAGAATATATACCTATGTTGATAAAATATGAATGTACAAGCCACCAAAGGGTTATAAGAGACACTTGCAATAAAATGACATAAAATGTTGCAACATATGATATGTATTCATACCTGCTTTCTTTCCACTTAGATCTTTATGGACCGCCTCCGTGGTGTAGTGGTTAGAGCATCCGCCCGGGAGAGCGGAAGGTTACGGGTTCGATCCCCAACCGCGTCATACCAAAAGACGTTAAAATATGGTACTTGTTGGTCCCTGCCTAGCGCTCGGCATTAATGGGTACAACAAGGACTGGTCGGCTCGGAGTCAGTATAATGTGTCTGAGATGGGTATTCATGCTTCACTGCGGCATAGTATCTCAGTGGTCTAGCACTATAAAACCAGCTTAAGTCTGGGCTAGTACAAGCAGCCGTACATACACATGCATGCACGTCGTCATATGAGCGAAATATTCTCAAGCACGATGTTAAACCCAATTTCACCACACCTCACCTTAGATCTTTATAACACAATTAAACAATCAGGACTTGTTTGTATGACTAGACAGTTTCTGGTCATCTCTGACACCTGCCAGGGGAAATCAGGTATGAATAGCACCAACTAGTCTCGCCACAGTGAGCCAGGTGTTGAGCAGTGAAGTGGCTCCATGGCTTAATGAGTTAATAAGGTTTTCTCACTGATATTCTGATAAGTGTTGACTTTATTGTAATGTCTGACTTCAGAACTGAAAGTGGAAAGGGCTGCCCTGGAGAAAGAGCTTCTAACACATGACATGGTTCCTGCCTCTCCACCAAACAGGCTTACTTTTGTACCCAAACCAGACTTAAGGTTAGATTTAAATAAAACTAACTCTTTGTTTTGTATAAGATGTTCAATACTTCTCATTCAGTGAATGGTTTTATTAGAATTTAGGAAGTCTTTATGTGAGTGCCAGTTCCAAAGTGGGGTCGCTTTTACTTGACAATATATGGTACAGTCCGTTTGAGTCAGAAACGGACTGATGAATTGCAAATTTGATCATTGTACAAAATTGCCACATAAATATAAAAAATAGTGCACGTTTATCATTACTAATACCCAACAGCTTTCTTATATTTGAACATTTTCAGGACTCCACCAAAAAAGTTCTTTTAGAAACTATCATTAAAATTTTGACACAGTTCACTATTTGTTACGAGGGAGGAGTGCAGAGAAAGGGACAGCCAGGTGTGCGAGAAAGGATGGAGACGGCACAGCACAGGCTAATGAATCAATAACTTGGTGGGCACTTGTGCACGTGCTTTTCTAACACCTGGCTGTCCCTTTCTCTGCACTCCTCCCTCATAACAAATAGTGAACTGTGTCAAAATTTTAATGATAGTTTCTTAAAGAACTTTTTTGGTGGAGTCTGGAAAATTTTGAAATATAAGAAAGTTGTTGGGTATTAGTTAATGATAAACATGTGTACTATTTACATTTATGTGACAATTTTGTACAATGATAAAATTTGCAATTCATCGGTCCGTTTCTGACTCAAATGGACTGTAGTACTGAACAAAAAGTAAATTGTACAGGATACCACATGAAGCTTCCGAGGGGATATCTTTTGTGTAACTAGACTAGAGATTAGTTGATTGAACTTGTACACTGGTCTACATGTATAACTACGGTAGTTACATGGGACATTGAACTTGTACACTGGTCTACATGTATAACTAGTTACATGGGACATTGAACTTGTACACTGGTCTACATGTATAACAAGTTACATGGGACATTGAACTTGTACACTGGTCTACATGTATAACTACGGTAGTTACATGGGACATTGAACTTGTACACTGGTCTACATGTATAACTACGGTAGTTACATAGGACATTGAACTTGTACACTGGTCTACATGTATAAATACGGTAGTTACATGGGACATTGAACTTGTACACTGGTCTACATGTATAACTAGTTACATGGGACATTGAACTTGTACACTGGTCTACATGTATAACTAGTTACATAGGACATTGAACTTGTACACTGGTCTACATGTATAACAAGTTACATGGGACATTGAACTTGTACACTGGTCTACATGTATAACTACGGTAGTTACATGGGACATTGAACTTGTACACTGGTCTACATGTATAACTAGTTACATAGGACATTGAACTTGTACACTGGTCTACATGTATAACAAGTTACATAGGACATTGAACTTGTACACTGGTTTACATGTATAAATACGGTAGTTACATGGGACATTGAACTTGTACACTGGTTTACATGTATAAATACGGTAGTTACATGGGACATTGAACTTGTACACTGGTCTACATGTATAAATACGGTAGTTACATGGGACATTGAACTTGTACACTGGTCTACGTGTATAACTAGTTACATGGGACATTGAACTTGTACACTTGTCTACATGTATAACAAGTTACATGGGACATTGAACTTGTACACTGGTCTACATGTATAACTACGGTAGTTAGATGGGACATTGAACTTGTACACTGGTTTACATGTATAACTACGGTAGTTACATGGGACATTGAACTTGTACACTGGTCTACGTGTATAACTAGTTACATGGGACATTGAACTTGTACACTGGTCTACATGTATAACTAGTTACATGGGACATTGAACTTGTACACTGGTTTACATGTATAACAAGTTACATGGGACATTGAACTTGTACACTGGTCTACATGTATAACTACGGTAGTTAGATGGGACATTGAACTTGTACACTGGTCTACATGTATAACTAGTTACATAGGACATTGAACTTGTACACTGGTCTACATGTATAACAAGTTACATGGGACATTGAACTTGTACACTGGTCTACATGTATAACTAGTTACATAGGACATTGAACTTGTACACTGGTCTACATGTATAACTACGGTAGTTACATGGGACATTGAACTTGTACACTGGTCTACATGTATAACTAGTTACATGGGACATTGAACTTGTACACTGGTCTACATTTATAACTAGTTACATAGGACATTGAACTTGTACACTGGTCTACATGTATAACTAGTTACATAGGACATTGAACTTGTACACTGGTCTACATGTATAACTACGGTAGTTACATGGGACATTGAACTTGTACACTGGTCTACATGTATAACAAGTTACATGGGACATTGAACTTGTACACTGGTCTACATGTATAACTACGGTAGTTACATGGGACATTGAACTTGTACACTGGTCTACATGTATAACAAGTTACATGGGACATTGAACTTGTACACTGGTCTACATGTATAACTACGGTAGTTTCATAGGACATTGAACTTGTACACTGGTCTACATGTATAACTAGTTACATGGGACATTGAACTTGTACACTGGTCTACATGTATAACAAGTTACATGGGACATTGAACTTGTACACTGGTCTACATGTATAACTAGTTACATGGGACATTGAACTTGTACACTAGTCTACATGTATAACAAGTTACATGGGACATTGAACTTGTACACTGGTCTACATGTATAACAAGTTACATGGGACATTGAACTTGTACACTGGTCTACATGTATAACAAGTTACATGGGACATTGAACTTGTACACTGGTCTACATGTATAACTAGTTACATGGGACATTGAACTTGTACACTAGTCTACATGTATAACAAGTTACATAGGACATTGAACTTGTACACTGGTCTACATGTATAACTAGTTACATAGGACATTGAACTTGTACACTGGTCTACATGTATAACTACGGTAGTTACATAGGACATTGAACTTGTACACTGGTCTACATGTATAACTAGTTACGTGGGACATTGAACTTGTACACTGGTCTACATGTATAACTAGTTACATAGGACATTGAACTTGTACACTGGTTTACATGTATAAATACGGTAGTTACATGGGACATTGAACTTGTACACTGGTCTACATGTATAAATACGGTAGTTACATGGGACATTGAACTTGTACACTGGTCTACGTGTATAACTAGTTACATGGGACATTGAACTTGTACACTTGTCTACATGTATAACAAGTTACATGGGACATTGAACTTGTACACTGGTTTACATGTATAACTACGGTAGTTACATGGGACATTGAACTTGTACACTGGTCTACGTGTATAACTAGTTACATGGGACATTGAACTTGTACACTGGTCTACGTGTATAACTAGTTACATGGGACATTGAACTTGTACACTGGTCTACATGTATAACTACGGTAGTTAGATGGGACATTGAACTTGTACACTGTTTACATGTATAACAAGTTACATGGGACATTGAACTTGTACACTGGTCTACATGTATAACTACGGTAGTTAGATGGGACATTGAACTTGTACACTGGTCTACATGTATAACTAGTTACATAGGACATTGAACTTGTACACTGGTCTACATGTATAACAAGTTACATGGGACATTGAACTTGTACACTGGTCTACATGTATAACTAGTTACATAGGACATTGAACTTGTACACTGGTCTACATGTATAACTACGGTAGTTACATGGGACATTGAACTTGTACACTGGTCTACATGTATAACAAGTTACATGGGACATTGAACTTGTACACTGGTCTACATTTATAACTAGTTACATAGGACATTGAACTTGTACACTGGTCTACATGTATAACTAGTTACATAGGACATTGAACTTGTACACTGGTTTACATGTATAACTACGGTAGTTACATGGGACATTGAACTTGTACACTGGTCTACATGTATAACAAGTTACATGGGACATTGAACTTGTACACTGGTCTACATGTATAACTACGGTAGTTACATGGGACATTGAACTTGTACACTGGTCTACATGTATAACAAGTTACATGGGACATTGAACTTGTACACTGGTCTACATGTATAACTACGGTAGTTACATAGGACATTGAACTTGTACACTGGTCTACATGTATAACTAGTTACATGGGACATTGAACTTGTACACTGGTCTACATGTATAACTAGTTACATGGGACATTGAACTTGTACACTAGTCTACATGTATAACAAGTTACATGGGACATTGAACTTGTACACTGGTCTACATGTATAACAAGTTACATGGGACATTGAACTTGTACACTGGTCTACATGTATAACAAGTTACATGGGACATTGAACTTGTACACTGGTCTACATGTATAACTAGTTACATGGGACATTGAACTTGTACACTAGTCTACATGTATAACAAGTTACATAGGACATTGAACTTGTACACTGGTCTACATGTATAACTAGTTACATAGGACATTGAACTTGTACACTGGTCTACATGTATAACTACGGTAGTTACATAGGACATTGAACTTGTACACTGGTCTACATGTATAACTAGTTACGTGGGACATTGAACTTGTACACTGGTCTACATGTATAACTAGTTACATAGGACATTGAACTTGTACACTGGTCTACATGTATAACTAGTTACATAGGACATTGAACTTGTACACTGGTCTACATGTGTAACTAGTTACATGGGACATTGAACTTGTACACTGGTCTACATGTATAACTACGGTAGTTACATGGGACATTGAACATGTACACTGGTCTACGTGTATAACTAGGTACATGGGACATTGAACTTGTACACTGGTCTACAACTTGTACACTGGTCTACATGTATAACAAGTTACATGGGACATTGAACTTGTACACTGGTCTACATGTATAACTAGTTACATGGGACATTGAACAGTTCATAGATATTACCATATGGAAATACATACATTTCAACTTAAGTATTTTTCACAGGTCAGATATAGTAATGTTGTAAATATATCCTAGTTAGCTTCTGGGTGTTTTACATGTCAAGTTCCTTATCTTCTGTAAGACTACCATAAGTGTTAATTAAAGGTCAAGTTTACAGCTTACTTTTTTGTCACTATCAAAGGAGGTCACATAATAATGAACATAAACCAAATACACCTAATGGATTTCAGTCGAGTGCATTTGATTGTATTGATTTTTTTTTCAGATTGCACTCTACAAGTACTTTGTCTGTCCTGTCTCAGCCCATCAGTGTGGGAGCAAAACATCTGTTTTCATCAAGTGACTATAAGTGGGAAAACATACATAATACACCAGTGAAGGCAAGATATGAGGAAAGTTCAAATATTGGAGTAACATTTTCATCTACAAGCCCAGATTGTGGAACGTCTTCTCCAGTATCACTAAAGGATATAGCAGTATTGGAACAACCAGTGAGAAAAGTGTCTGCTAGTCCAACTCTGGTGAAAGTTGTGCCAGTAAGCAGGATACAGTCTCCACAAGCACCCCCTCACGGTGAGGCAAAGTACGTTCCAACTCCACCAACAAAACAAATAGCTAACAGACCAAGCTCAGCTGACAGGTTTCGCAAGCTGGTGTTAGACTGTCGTGATGGGACATAGCATGTATTTGTTCCCATGTCATCCATCTGTTTGGTTTGTATTTGTCTGTGCTCTACTCTCTCGTGAATTATTTTCTTTCCCAGTGTGTGATAAACGTACACTTATACCTACAATACTCTGGCACAAGGATGGCCAGTGACCAAGCTAGGACAGAGAAGTGTATTGCAGGACCTACACCAACAAAATTATAGAAAGGCTGTTTCATGAATAAACAGAGACTCGCCCCTTTCAGCTCTACAAGCCCCATGATATACTGACAATGCAAGTGATCAAACAGGGGCAGCATGAACTAGTACGACATGCTCGGGGAACTGACAGTTGTGCTTATATGATTCACCCACTGACTATATTTGGGAATTTTTCAGGTCTTACAAATAAACATGCTGATGTGTACTGCGTTTATTTTGATGTCATATGCCTTAGCAAGACATGGTGCCAAGACTGAAAGTGTGATCATTTTTCTGGTTATTTTAAATCTGATACACTCCATGCCAAGAACATTGCTATTTGGTATCATGGTATAAATCAGAAACTCATTTGTGTGAAACTCATTTTGGATAAAAAATGCTTTATTTATTGCATTTGATAAGTTATTGTTTAATTTAGAAAAAGAGACTCTTGTTAGATGTGTTTACATAAACCCAAATGATGGTAGCGAATTAGTGAGATGAAATGAGGTTTAACGTTGTACTTAAGAATATTTTGCTCATATTACGATGTGCATGCGTGTGTATGTGTGGCTGCTTGTACTTGCCCAGACTTAAGCTGGTTTTATAGTGCTAGCCCACTGAGATACCATGCCGCAGATAAGCATGAAAACCAGACTCAGACTCCAAGCCAACCAGTCCATGTTGTACGAATTAATGCCGAGTGCCAGGCAGGAACAAGTACCATTATTTCAGTGTCTTTTAGCGTATTAGTGCCACACTCTCACAATCAGTTATCATTTTCATAGGAATGAATCTGGCTTATTATATCACGTACACAGATGTAAGTATCTGCTACCTAGATGTGAGAAGAAGAATACTCTTTTGGATGGTTGCACAAGAACGCTTTCTTACAAAATGGATGATGATGGTAACAAGCTTTCCTTGGACTAATGATATTTTAAAATATACTGAACAGCAAAAGAAACGCAAGTTTCGAAAAAATGAAATTTCATAAAGGTAAGCGTTCATGTTTATGGAACGTTCATGGTAAAGTGACGTAATGATCCCAGATGAGATGATGTCATGCAATTTGACGTCCATACGAACCATTCGCACAAACACACCAACAGTGCAGCAAAACCATAATTTTAGCATGTGCGTCGACGGTTCTGGATGGAAAGCATGCATTTCACTCTGAGGTATCCTTTATAAAGGTTTGTGTCAAAAAACAGTTCAGTATTAACGCTAGGAGGTGTACACGCCACACAAACGATGCCTAGACTAACGACTGAGCAGAGGGGAGTGGCCATTGGAAAGTTGCACGGAGGTAGCTCTGCAACCGCTGTAGCTAGGCAATTGGGCTGTCATCTTACCACATTACATGACTTGCTCAACGTCATCAGCAAACCCGGGTTGCTGCTGATCGCCCCCCGCACGGGACGGCAACAGTGACAACTCATGCGCCAAGATCGGTTCATCCGGTCACTCATCTAAAGAACCGAACTCAAGCAGAAACAGTAACAGCAGCCTTAGTTCTTGGGTCAAGTGGAGCAGTGTCCGCAATACGATTAGGCCGTCTTCGGCTGCTGGAATCCACTGCCGACGGCCATATGTGGGGCCAGTTTTGACGTCGCGTCAACAACGCCAGCAGCCCTCACACAGCAAGGGTGTTGACGGATCATCTGGCTCAGAACAACGTTAACATTTTTCCAGGGCCGTCTCTTTCCCGGATATGGCTCCCTTTGAACATTCTGGGACGAAATTGGACGGAGGATTGGGGCAGGTAGACAGCCACTCACACTTGCACAATTGGAATACAGATTGGTGTTTGAGCAGAACCAGTTGCCTCAGGCAGTCTTTCAGACTCTAGTGAACTCAATGAGGCCACGTTGCACGGCCTGTGTGCAAGCTCAAGGTGGCTATACACGCTACTAAAGAGACTGTCACTTTTCGCGTTCAGGGGTATCTCCATTTGACGGACTGTGATCAATTTGAACTTATTGCAATTCAATGTCAACAGCAACTTTCAACTGTTAAATTGACAGTGTTTTCTATAGAATAAATGATTAGACATGATTTTGGTTGTCTTCTATTAAAAAACTTGACAAAAAGCCAGACCTGGTTACTTTTGCTGTTCAGTATACTTGTTTTAAGTAGTGCATGAATTTGAAGATGTTCACATACTGATTGGGGCAATGTTACACATGAATGGGAATTGAAACTTCAGTCTGTTTGGGGTCAAAATGATACCGATGAATCTCAATCTATGTCCAAATCGGTTCATGATAAAACATTCATTTCAACGCAGAATGTAATGAAAACATCAGACCAACTCCGGAAAAAGGATTCATAACGTTTGTCTCCAAAATAAAGAAGTTACTTGACAAACTAGCATCATTTTGTTTATATTTTTCGTGTGAGGTGTAAGAGGGTAAAGTAACAGTTGCAGAACAGCCTCAAGGGCGGAAAGCATGTGCAGTTTAGAATGTCAACATTTAGGGGTGTATCAAAACTCTTCTGGACTGGAATCTGAGGAAATTCCTGATTCCCTTTCACTACTCTCAGATTGTACACTTATGATGACTGGTTGAATCGTGGCATAATCTAAAACACTTTTTATAAAGTACTGATTCTCTATTTCATTTTCAACTTTCTGTACACAGTTTTGCCAGATTGCTGGTGTTATACTCCTCACAAAAAATTAAGCAACAAGTATTTTCAGTGTAATATCTTTATCAATCTCGATAGCGATTTTTGCTGACATATTACTGAAAGGTAAATATTCAAAGAATACATAACCTTTAGTGACTGTCAAATTGATTTATCTGATAACATTGACAACATCACCTGAACCCAACCACCCTCAGAAACAACATGCAAAATGTGTGGCATGAATGTGCTCCACTCTTCACACATGCACTCTGATCGGTTAAAACCTACCTGTAATCATTCCTCTGGTACAATAAGCGGGTTCCAACTTCATTTTTATGGATGATAATGCCCGCCTATGGATGATAATGCCTGAGAAAGAGTTGTTAATGATGTTTAGATCAACAACATCACACATATGGACTGGCCTGCAAGGTCACGTGATCTTAATCCCATTGAATATGCTGGAACATTATTGGAAGTCGTGTTTACGGTCTCCGTGTTCACCCCCAGACTCTGGATAACCTTGAGCAGGCATTACAGAGAGAATGGCAGAACATTCCACAACAGCAAGGTTAAAGGCCCATTTGTTCAATGCCAAGACGTGTAGAAGCTTCCATTCGTGCCCATTGTGGTCATACGTGTTACTGAAAACTGCTTCACTGTCCAAAATTGACTTGAACCTGAATGTTAACAGTTTGCTCCATCTATGCAGCACATTGTGCACGACTGTTTCACGGTACATGCTTTTGATGATTTGTAAGTCTATTATTGCTCAATATCATTTCATTTCATTTCATTTTGTTAATCGTGTGTACATATCTTTCACCTTTCTATTGCATCATTCCATGATTTGCAATTTCAATAAATGAAAATGTAATGAGACTAAACATTTGTGTTGCTTAACTTTTTGTGAGGAGTATATTTTTATGCCCCGCAACGCTGTCTGTCTCTGTGTCCGTCCGTGCAGATTTGTCTTTTCCGGAGCAGAACTTTAAAACCGTTCTTCACCAAACTTCGCACATAGATAGGTGTGGTGATGAACTGGTGTCTTTTGGAAGTTTTGGATTTCTGAATAAGATATTTTTTGCATTTCCATGGCAACAAGTTTGACTTTGACTGAAATTGGTGTTGGTGCTCTTTTCCGGAGTAGAACTTTAAAAATCAATTAATCAATTAATCACTGCTGTGTACATACCTAAATATTTGACATTTGCATAACTAGTTGACATATTCATGAAGAGTATTTAGCCATTGCATGGGATATTGATGACTTTGTCTGCTTGTTAAAGAATATTTTCCATACCATTCGGAGGATGTTATTCAATGTGGTATGGTGTTGCAGTGATTTTATAATAGGATGATGGTTTGGAAGTGATTGATTGTACAGTATTAGATTGTCTTAGTGCTAGCCACTCATGATGGAAATCACCATGTAAAGATAGGCATGACAATGCCTTATTTGTCCTAGGCCACTCCCTTTTGTCTGGCACTTCTGACACATTGGTCACACAATATCATAATTTAATTGGTTGGTGTCAGTAAGTTGGTTAAGGCAATTTGAATCTAGTCATGTCATAAAATATGTAATTCCCTTAGTCACTTCACAAAATGAATGTTTCTGTTATTTCACGATATGACTATTGCGTATGTGTACATAGCATGCCAAAGGATAGTCTGCACCTGTGTTTGATATTCTCTAAACGTCAAGTCATACAACAACCATTCATGGGCAAGAATATTACTGAAAACCATGTAATACTATTCAGAAACTGCAAATAGCGACTGAGCTTCCATTTGTAGTTGATCATGCCCATGTAGCGGCCATAAAATTTCCGAGTCCCGTGCTGGGATTCGAACCATGGACCTTCTGATCAGAAGTCGGACGCCTTGTCCACATGACTAAAGAGGTTAACCCCATCAGCAAGCTGACAAGGTAAGGATGTCATCTGTGGGATGACTACACGCAGACAGGACTGAATATCGCTTTCTCGTGCAATGATATCTTTTGCTCATCTTGTGCTATTCAGTATCACTTTCTCGTCTCACGTTATCACTTTCTCATCAGTGATATCGCTGTCTAATGGTCAAATTTTAAGGTCAGAAAGCGATTGCCCTTATCAGCCACCATAGTTTTCAGGGATTATATCCTCACTGCAAGACTGCTGGCTGACCTTGTCCAATATATAGATCTTTTCAAATCATGTGAAAGAGATGAAGATGTTATGTTAAAGGCCAACCGATCTAGAGCAAATCCCTGGTAAAGTTGTTGCTTAAAGATCATTTCCTCCATATAACTTTCTGCAATATATCTTTATATATATAAATAGGTAACATGCTTTCAATCTCAAGAAGCAAAAGAAAAACCTCTATATAGGTCAACCCTATCCATCCATCCGTCTGTAATCATTTTGTTTCCAGAGCATAACTCAAAAGCCGTTCAATATTTTTCAACAAAAATTGGTAGATATAACAAATAGAACCTAAGGTGCTGCATTTGGCTATTAACAGGTTTTTGCCATTTTTATTTTTCTCAATTTCCATGGAAACGATTCGAACTTAGTCTCCAAACAGACGAGTGGGCTTAGTTTCTTGAGCACAGCTTGAAAACCGTTCAATATCTTTCAACAGAACTTGGCAGATATATGTGGCAGATCCCAGATTGGTGCCTTTTGTTATTTGCAGATTTTTGGCATTTATATTTTGAATGATTTCCATGGAAACAATTTGGACTTAGTCTAATAAATCATCAAGCTGGACTTTAAGTAACTGTCAGAT